ATCCTTTAGAGGTGTTGATAGCCTGATATTCAGCCGGCCAAATGACAAGAGCTCAGGCTTACGGGTTTGCATAAGAGCACCACTTTGCCTAAGTTAACATGGGAGCAATTTTGCATCTTTCTATGCCTAGTTGCCATTCTAGAAAAGCAGGGAGTGGCGGTCATCTCAGGAGAGTGATGCCACACCATGGAAGGAAACCTTCAGCCACTCCACACAGCTGTGGAGTGTACCCAGTGCCAGGGGCTGGGCTTATCAAGAATAATGGTGTAGAAATGAAGGGTTCAGCCCATAGCAGGGGTACGGTAAAAATAAGGTTAAAGACCGCTGAAACCCCAGAATTCATAGAGGATAAAAACTTCCTCCCCAAGTGGTGGATAGTACTGGAGTGATAAACAGTTCAGTTTTTTTAGGTCATTTTGGTGAAGATCTGTGAATTTCCAGAATTTCTTTTAACAGTTAGCATTGACTACAGACCCACTGGCGTAAGTGGCAGTGTGCCTTCTCTCTAACCCTGGGTAAGTCGGGCACGCAGGGGTGAGGCGCCCTGGGCCAGGCACTGGGACACAGTGAATGAGGCGGGAAGTGCTCACTCCAACACAAAATGGTGCACAGCCCAGGACTGGCTCCTACTTCGGTGTCTCTCTCCTCAGGGCTTTTCTTCCAAGGTAGCTTTGTGAAGCTTGACTTGGACTTGCCTAGCCTTGGAGGGACCACAACAGGAGGGCCTAACAGATCATGAACTAATCCCTCAAAAAGGGCTTCTTGCCCAGGAGGAGGAAGTGGGGCTCTCCTTCCTCTGTCTCTGCCTGGCTGGGCTGTTCAGGGAGACTGAGTTCCAAGCTCAGGATGTCTGGCCGCCTGGCTGTGACTTCCAGCCACCATCACCGGGACAAGAGGGTTACTGAACACTGGTGTGGGCTACATGCCTCAATGGGCCAGGAGGGGCACAGCCTCTGAGATGAGTAGAGGCTTCCCACAAAGGCCTGGGAACCTGATCCTGGCCATGAATCTGTGAAAGTAGCGCAGCCCTCAGGAGAACTAAGAAAGGGAGACAGGCTGAGAAATGTCATCAGTGTACACCCAGGCCTGGTGGAGCTGTTCTGTCCCAGCTGGGGTGAGAACCCATTGAGATGGAGCCTTTCCTGGCACCTCCAGGAGGGCGTTCTGCATTTACAAGCACCCCTCATGCATCTGAAATACCAAGGGCCATGTTCCTTCTTGTGTTTGTTTCTAGGAGCTCAGTATTTCAGTCGTGTCTATTTTGTAGACTTTGATTTTGTCTTAGCTGGTGAAGGTATTTCAAAGTTAAAGAGCTAGTTGGAAGGGCTTATTGCTGAAGCACAAAAAGTGCTTATGTGGGGTGGGGGTGTCACTGCCTACTTGAAAGTATCCGCTTGTGTGGAACAGATTCAGCCCCTAGCACTTGGGGCTGTGGGAGCTTCTACACACTTTCTCTTTAATGGTAAAGAGACAAGGTTGGAGTGTTCGTTCAAGAGCATGGTGATAGTGGTGAAAAAGGGGATTTGAGCCCACATCTACATGGCTCCAGAGTTCACTCTTTCATCACTCCCTGCTGCGTTCTTCTTGAGCTTTAGCATTTTTAGTGCATTATATGCCTCCAGACCTCAGAGTTGACATTTAGTCATGATAAACTGCCGTGAATCCAAAGAACGTTTAGTGTCTCTTGTGGCGAGGTTCTGAAATGATTATTGTATTAGTCAAACAGAATGATCATGGAGCACATATGGAGATGTCAGATGTAATCCCTGTATTGTAAAACAGTGAAATTTAATGATGGATAAGATGAATTCACAAATAACTAGAACTCAGGGGCAATGCGCACAGCCTGTAGAACAGTATCATGCTGAGATCTAAAGGAAGAAGAGGTGCTGTGGCAGAACTCCATGTGACCGTCCCTTCTAAGCAGCCAGGATGAGAGGAGCAGAGGTGAGTCCTGCCTCCCTGTGGGTGCCACGGCTGAGGTGAGGAGCTCTGGTCAGATGGTGGGGGGTGGCGGGGCAGCGGCAGGGCAGATTGAAGCCAGGGATTCTCTTATACCTGAGTTTGAAATGCCTCCTATTCAAACAAAGCAAAATATCTTGACAGACGGTTGGATGTGAGTCTCAAGGAGGAATTCACTTTGAAAAGCACAGAATTAATGTGTATCGCTTGTATGAAGAATCTCAGCTAGAATAACAAGGTCGGATGGGATGAATCAGGACTGATTTGAAGAATGATTTACTAAATGGTTCTTTCCTTTCCCCCCTTAGCAGATCATACCACCAGCCGCTTAACACACAATCCTTTAAAAGTTGTTTCTTCTTACCTCTGAGTGAAGGTAAGCACAGGCGGGGAGATGAACGAGCCTTTTAAATGGATAGAGTATCATCTGTGATTATTATCCCCGACAGGGAGCGATCCCTCCAATTATCAAGTGGGTGGGAATACTGGTTGCCTGGAAAATGTGAAACAGACTTACTTCTCTTCTTTTGCTGCCAATTTTGGTATTCATAGAAGGTTGTTGTATCTGTGTATCGCTCCTGTGTGTGTAATGATGGTGGATGCTTGTGTAGCATAGTGACTGGGGACAAAACAGCACAGTGGATGAGGCTGGAGTTGGCAAGCTAAGTAAACAGGCATTGCATTGCACATTTTGTGGGCAAAAAGAAGTTGAAGCATCGCAGGATTTTAACAAACTACTTGCCAGATAATTTCAACACAGTGCAGAATTTAGATTCAATAATGTCAAATCAGCCAGACAAGTCATATAAAACCAAACACTATGGTTTTTATGTTATCTTTGGAGGAGAAACCATTTTGTTTTGTGTCCAAATAACTCTTTAGCTATATACTGGCATAACATGTGAACAACTCTAGCAAGAAATGTCAAATTAGGGATGCCTCCTCTACATGGGGCTTAGAACATAACATTTTGAAGGAAATCCTTTTTGATACACAGCTGACTAGATGAAGGGCCAGATTAACAAGTTGATGAGTTGTAAATATAAAAGTTATGTACCACAGTAAAAAAGAAAAAGAGGTATGGCTGCATTATTGATGCTGGTCAAACAGCCCCCAAGAATCCTAGGATGGCTTCGATGCAGCCACCTTCCCTCTGTGCGCGCGTTCATCTGCGGATGTGAGTGTGCGCACCTGTGCCCCAGTTTGCACACTCGAGACGCTCACTCAGACAGTGCGGAATGGCACTGCACTCCCGTCTGATTAATGTGGCCTTAATGTTGTAGATACACTGTGTCACTTTCATACTCCCTCCTTCCCACAAAAGTTGCCACTGAGAACCCGTGAACTGGGATAAGCAACGAACAGAGTAACAGCTGAAGCAGCACCTCAGGAACCTCCCCAGAGAAACAGGATGGAGGCGCGCCCAGGGTGCTCTTGCTCTCTCATCTGCACAGCCATGTCCGTGCAGCCTGGGTTTCTAGCTCTTTGGGGAGACTCCCCTTTTTGTGGAATGCTTTCTGTGTTTCCTACCTCAGTGCCTAAGGAGTGACCAGTCATGCTCCTGGCTGATGGCTGCCAGGCACTGTGGTTTTCCTAACTCAAGCAGTCACCCGCATGGGGAGGCCACATTCACAGCTCCAGGCCTGCCGTTTAGCCCCTGGGGCCTGGCTGTACAGTTGCCCCAGAGGCTTATAGGAGCTGCCAGCCAAGTTTAATTTGGCTACCTTAGAGAACTGCAGCAAGGCCCTATCAGCTTGCTATTAGACATACAACTACGTTTAAATTAAAATTTGCACCTCTAGGGAGTGCTGATCTGAAAATAATAGCATTCTGTCTCAGATTATAGAGCCCACTTACTGTTATTAATTGCTGATTCTTATTTTACAAAAAAAAAAATTACAAAAGCATTACCATTTACTTCCAAGAAGTAAGGGATTCTCTATACCTTCCCCCAAGCTTCTCCTCAAATTTCCAAATCCTAAAGACTTTGAAGAAATTTGTGTGACTATTTAAAATTGAGTATTTCTGGCCAGGCGCAGTGGCTCACACCTGTAATCCCAGCACTTTGGGAGGCTGAGGTGGGCGGATCACGAGGTCAGGAGTTCGAGACCAGCCTGGGCAATATGGTGAAACCTAGTCTCTACTAAAAATACAAAAATTAGCTGGGTGTGGCAGTACATGTAATCCCAGCTGCTCGGGAGGCTGAGGCAGAAGAATCGCCTGAGCCTGGGAGGCAAAGGTTGCAGTAAGCTGAGATAGCGCCACTGCACTCCAGCCTGCACGATGTGAGGAGACTGTCTCAAAAAAAAAAAGAAATTGAGTATTTCTAACTATGATCTTTTCAAAAGGGATGGTTCACCAAGCCAGTGATACTCTATGGACTCCATTTCGGGACCTCTACCCTAGCAAGGATACAGGTTCCTGCGGGTTTTGAAGATGAGAAAAGTTGTCTCAGAATTTACCCAAATGTCATTCTCAGCATAAAAGATACACTTTTAGAAATGAGAAGTTTCAACAGAACTCAAAACACTGGACACAACAATAACTATAAACATTTTAATTTCAAAAACAAAGGTGTGTGCGAGTGTTCTGTGACAGTCAGGGTTGCGGGGCTTGGAGAACAAGCGCTTGTCCCTGTGAAGCCCACAGGGCGCTGGCGGCCCACGAATTGCTTAGACTACAGTGAGGAGCATCGTGTGACTCAGGTGGCTTTCCATGCACCACATGGACTTGATTTCTAAACTCACATCCGAACGTATCCTGGCTTTTCACAGAATACTTGAGACATGACTGCATGCATGATCACGGTTCTTGTGAAACTGCCACCGTATTATGCTTAACAGCTGCATAAATATTATAAAGAAATAGGGTTTTCTTGACACTTAGATTTAAGCCTAATGCATCTGCCCAGCTGATGGCGTCAGGTGCTGCTGTTCTTTTTCGTGGTAACAGTAATGTATTAAAGTGCCAGTGATGTAGCATGCAGTTGTCTTATTTTCTTCAGGGCATTCATTTCCTGGCTCTGTTTACTCTAGTTGCTTTAAGATAGTAAATGGCTTTTGTTTGAGATTGCAGATTCCGGAGCGTGTGTGGTGCCGTCCACGGCGTGTTCTGGGCGGTGCCGTGCCCTGGGGAGGAGCTGCCGTGTGGCCTCTTCGCTGTTTCCCCATCATGTGAGTTGTGTTTTTGTTTTTTTTCAAAAGTCTGAGGTAAGTTCTGTGTTTTGGAACGCCATGTTGGGTGGTTGTGATTTGGGGAGAGCAGCACAGGTGGGAGCTGTGGGGGCGCTGACCTCCCCCCACCCCCCACCAGCTGCACGCCTGTCACTGCTCGTCTGATGCACTTTGCTGCGAGGCTGTGTCATCCAGGCCCATGTCCTCCTGGCTTGCTCTCCTGCAGACCACCCTGAGAGTCTCTGCCACAGCCTCAGCCAGACGATGGTCACGAACCTGCCCCTGCTCGGTGGTGTCGGTGGGCTCACAGGGCTCGGAGAGGTGCTTCCAAAGAGAAGAAAGAAAAGTAGCGAACCGCTCAGCAGATGTTCACTACCCACTTTTAATTGGCACCCCCCACCCCGTGCTGTGGGAACTAAAGGCTGGTGCTGCCCAACCTTGAGGTCAAGTTCTAACGTCAGGTCAAATGACAGGGGGCCAGCACGGTGGCCTCTGAGGACAGGACAGCAGCCGATGCCGCATCTGGGACACAGGGCCTCTGCATGCCGGCCTTTCTGGATGACTATGCTGGAAAGAGTGGCCCGGGGGGAAAGGGCATTAGTGCACCTGGATTTCCAATTGTGATCAGTGTGACTTCATGCACACTTAGCCCCTGTCATTAATGCTGAGTTCCAGCGGGCTTGACCCCAGTAGGACACAGAGGCTGTTCTCTTCTGAAGGCATGTGGTCCCAATGACTCAACTGCCCATTTTGGAGAGCAGGAAGGAGAATTTGACAGAATCCCAGAACTGCACCCATAGACTGTGACTTTAACACAGATTGGGGCAGGGAGAAGGGTGATATTTTATGTGCTTATATTGAAGAAATAAAGAAAAGGGAGGGGAGATTTATTCTTTTAGTTATCTAAATGTAGGTCAAATTCCTGCAGTAACCAGCTCTTTCCTCTTGGCCAGAATGGCCTGGGGGTTCCAGGAAAGCCCGTCAATCTCCCCCTCCATGAAAGATGGCACCCACGGCTGCAATCCTACAGCTTTTCATAGGGCGGCCAGCCCAGCCTTGGCTTCCCCTGGCAGGAAGGCACTTGTATGGAGAGCTTTTCCCATGAAGGAGAGGGAGGGCGTAATGAGGAAGGTTCAGGGGCAGTCCCTTCTCTCCACCTGCAAATAACCACACCCAGAACCAGAGGCCAAGCTGCTGCAACTCTGGTGTTTGATGGAAAGCATGAGCCACGGGCAGGAAAACCTGAACACTCAAAAGGAGTGGGGGAAATCTCCAAATCTGACCCAGTCTTGCCTTGACACCATCGATTTTCCCTGTCTACTGGGTTACATAGGAGAACTGCCGGGTATTTACCTTTTTCTCACTGATGAAGCTTAAGAATTCATTTCATGTCAGCTGCCTTGGGATTCTGGACAAGTAACAGCTTATTTGGGTGACGTCCTTAAAACTCTCCTTGTCTAGTATTGAAATACCTGGAAGCAGTGGGCTGTCTCAGCAGCTTTAAAGTTAAATCTTGGCTGAGAAGTGATGATGATCTAACTCCAACATTGACAGCTACCTTTCCTCTCCCTCAAGCCAGAAATCATGTAAAAAGAGTCCCACCGTGTGGATGAATGGAGAGCGTTCTCCCTCACTCCCAGGTACAGGGCTGGTGGCCACAGTTCTGCTGAACCTCTGCATCTGGCGACTCCTTTCAGTGCCTGCCTGGGTATTATCATTTACAGGACGTGTGCTCTGTATCTTGTCTGCTTCCTAGAGCAGCTGAGCCACTTTGTGTCTAATCACTGTCCTTTGTCATTCTGGGAGCCCCATAGAGGAGGGAATGGGGTTCTGCAGGCAGAAGGGTGGGGACCACACTCAGGCCAGAAGCCCATGCCACCACTCCAGCTCATCCTGGGGAACCCTGCCCAGCCCCTTACCCGAGTGGCCTGGCTGGCAGCCCTGGCTGAGGGGCCCATCACGATATTGACACTGCTGGATGACTGGGTGTCACTGGTATTGCCCCCCTCCGCAGCAGAGAGTCCAGAAATGACGAGTGCGCTGGAAAAGCTCCTCTTGCCGAAGAGGAAGCTAAGGGTGGAGCTGGTGGAGGAGCCCAGGCTGGATCTGATGAGGGCCTCGGCCCGCTCGCGGACACTCAGGTGACCCGTGGTGGTGACGGGTGGGGGCTGAGAGTGCAGGGACGTGGCCGAGGTGTGCAGGGAGAGCCGGCTGCCCGAGAGCCTCTGAGCCAGCTCGTGCACAGAGGTGGACGTCTGGAGGAATGGCTGGCGGCTCTCTAAGATAGGGCCAGAGGAGCTCAGCATGGGCGGCCTTTGGCTTAGCGTCGAGTGTGCCTGCACGGACTGGCTCCTGCCTTTCCTCCTGCCTTTAAAAGAAAGCAGAACATAGAGTTGTAACGGGGGGTCATGAACATTGATGCCTGTGTGGTGAAGCAGGTGGCCTGCTCTGCCTGGGCCCAGGGAACCTTCCTCAGGGCACCACCTTCAAGGCTCGGACGAGCTGGGAGCCTGACCATTGCCTCACCTGCTCCCTCCTGCCAAGTCCAGGTCCTGAGAACTGAAGGGCACCCAAGGGTGGGGGCTGGGGTTGGGGACACAGTGTGAGAAGCTGCAGCCAGGGTGACAGATCTGCCCAGTTTGCCAAGACATTCCTGGTTCTAGCACCAAAAAGTCCCTCGTCTCTAGAAGCCACTTGGTCCAGGCAAACCAGGACGACGCTAGCAGTGGACCATGGCCTCATACAGTAAACCCAAATGTGATCCTGGCTCAGGGCCATGGTTCCTATGCTCATCTGATCAGCAGCGATAAAGGAAAACATGCAGGGTTCTGTGATTTTTATTTGCCATGAAGAAAGAAGAAAGGTGAGGAGAGCTGAAGCTCATGCCATGGGCTCTATTTTCCAGGACAGCCTTTCCTTACAGGCCTGCACGCTACCGGCCAGGCCTGGGCCTCAGTTCCCATGCTTTTCTCGCTTAGCCCCTTCACCTGCCGCCTCACCCCTCAGGGGCCCTGCTACCCCAGCCTGGCTGGCAGCCATGGGCAAGGGGCCCATCACAATGTTGGCGCCGCTGGATGGCTGGTGTCACTGGTATTGCCCCTCTCTGCAGCAGAGTCTGGAAATGACGAGCTGAAAGTTGTCTAGATAAGGCCATTTTTGACAAAAGAGACTGGACTACCCCCAAAGATGTGGTTCTGTCCATGCTTCTGGAAGCAGGCCAGCTTCGCGGGGTCTTCTGTGCCTGATCCACCTGTGTGGCGTGCTGGTTAGCACTGCAGTCTAAGCAGTCTCCTGTAGCTGCTACAATTAGGCCTTAAATCAAGTCAAATAGAGGGGGCTGAGGCATAAGTATCAGAAAGGATGCCCAATGCATTGCCTCGTGTTCCACCTCACCCAAATGCCCGAGTTATTCATTGTGCATCTGGTGATTCTGAAGCAGGTATGGCTGCCTACAGGAGAACCCAGAAACGACACATCATGTGAGAGGCAATTCATTAGCGATAAACGTGACAATGGGAATTCCAGGGTTCTTCCAGCCTCACACCACCCCACCGCAGCCTAGGCTGAAGGGGCCTTTCTGCCTCATGTAGACCACAATGCCAGTTTGGATGCTGTGATGGTTGAGTGTCCATTTGCAGAGGGCACTGGTGCTCCCATCTCACTTTCTCCTGCTGTGTGCTGAGAGTATGGAGTGCTCACTCCACAGTGCTGCGGGGTTCCACAGGATGGGGCTGCCCTCCCTGGGAGGAGTGTGCTCAGCCCCTGGCACAGGGCCCATCCACCTCTGCCGCAGGAGGGGTGCATCTGGGCCTGCCTGAAAGGTCCCCCCTGGGTAGTTGAATATGTTGCTCTTACAGAGAAAAAAGGAGGAAAGGGACCCTGACGAATCAGAATGAAAAACAGGGATGGTGATTTGTTAGTTTATTCAGCGTCTGGCAAGGCCGGACGTCTGTTTGTGATTTATATCGTAAAAGCAGATCACTGTCCAAAAATAGTCCACGTTCATCCACAAGTCAGTGATTGTGATGCTCAATAGAAGACCACCCATACTTGGTGGGGAACTTCCCAGAGAATTCCAGGAACAAAGGGACAAATAACTCACTGTGTGTCAAAGGGAAATGGCCTGCTATAGTCTGTGCAAGACAAAGACTCCCTCCCCTGCCACACAACTTCATTGCTTCTGATTTTCTCATTGCTTTTTTTTTTTTTAAATTAATTTTGCAAATGGAACAGCACTAAGTAAGCAAACCATGCTAAATGCATTGTGCTACACAGGATCATTATTTTACAATTTAACTTATTTTGCAAATTACTGTATTACCAAGTTATGAATGTTTCTGGGGAAAACCTCCCTAGAACCTGAATGGAAATAGCTTATATATAAATCACCTTTCTTGGTTTATTATTGTGGCACTTAATACCTTTGTCTTTGATATTCTCTGAAAGGTGGTGGTGCAGCTCCTTAGGAATATGAGAAGACAGCCCGCCTCTCCAATCCAGGATTCGGATTAGTTATGAATTCCTAACTGCTCATCAGTAAGTAGGTCACCAGCCTCCACTGCTAGGCCAGCTCCCCTTCCAGCAATGACATATACTTTTTACCTCAGCAAAATCACTGCAGGTTGTCAGGCCCTAGATGAGGCTGGCATAGTGGCACCTGTCAGCTGGGTGCAAAGTGCTGTGCGCACCAACAGCAGCAGATACACAGCGTGGCCAGCCTGGGGAGAGGAGTTCTGCTTGCGGGGTCTCAGGCAGGAGGGACCCCAGTCCTCCAAGCATCTAGCAAGGGCTCAGGATTGGGATACCCAGCCAGAACTGAGGCAGGGACCAAGGAAGGGTGGGGCAGTTGGTCCCCAGTTATGGGAGTTGGGTCTTGATGGCATGGTGAGTGAAACAAGACCCTTGTTAGAATTTGGTTCAAATTCACCCTTCAAAACTGCTCACCCTTTGCTACTTGGCTAAGGGTCTCTGTTGTGCCCTTTCCAGAGAGGCGGGTCCTCCACTCTGAGAGGCCCCCGACCACCTCTCGAATGGCACTCAGCACACTGTGTTGTCACTGTCTGATGCATGGTGATCTCCCTGCTGTGCCCTTTCTGCAGCAAAAAACCCCTGTATCACTTCTATGAGCTCAGCACCCAGCACACTAACATGTAAAAAAAGGATACACGGGAAAAACCTGAAAAACTGACCTGATGCCAAAAGCCTGATTAGAAAGCCAGTGAGTCCCAGAAAGTTCAGGGTGGAGTACGGTGTTTCTTAAACTTGGCAATTAGAAGCATTTCAAAAAATTTATCAATACCTTGACTAGAGGCTGAGACCCATAGGCAAGCACCTGTCAATGGGCCCAAGGGGCCTCAGCGTAGACTGGAGGGCAAACTAAAGGTTAGGAAAATTGGAAGCTGATTTTTCCATTGTTCCAGGTCAAATACGAAGACCCGGCATCAGGAGTGTCCTCTCTGTAGCCAGAGAATGGCCTCTAATGCCCCTGCATTGGCCAACCAGGTCTCTGGCTTCCCTTCTGGGAGCTGTGCATCTCAACTCGGATGGGCATGGTTGTTTGACTTAACTGGGAGGAGGGTGAGAAGGAGGCCAGAGACTGAAATCAAATCCAGTTATCCTCACATCCCCAAAGGGAACGATGGCCTGCTGCGAATGACAGGTAGGTGGTTTCCCTAAAGTGTCCCTGGCAGAGGTGCCCCTCCCACAGTGGTAGCCTTCTTCTTGGGCTTGCTCTCCAGGGAACCCCAGGGGCCTCCTGCACACTGGATCTCAGGTGCCGTGTCTTAAGGTGAATGAAAGCTTTGTGCTCCCAGTCCCAGTCAGGGCTGGAGACCCACATGCCCACACCATCTGCATCCATGAAGGAGGTCAGAATCAGGGGCGTGGTCGGGTGCAGGGGGCAAGCCCGTGAGTGCAGCTCCTCTCTCATTTATGCCACGGGCATCTTCTAGCATCTGCTGTTCATCAAATGCCAAGGGTGCCATGGTGTGGGAGCCCTCAGGGAGTTCACACCTACCCATACCTTCCTTTTCCAAGGCCAAGGGTTCCAACCTGAGGCCCAGGAGTGTAGGTGTGGGGCGAGTTGCTAACCACCAAGGGACACAGAGATAGGACAGTGGCTCCTGACCTTCCACCACCCATGAGGAGGCAGCAAGTGTCGTGAACCACAGTGGAAGCTGGCAAGTGCCCCACAGCAGCTTCCAACACAGTGGGAGTAGAACAAAGGTGACATTTACCTTTTCCAGGGGACAAGAAGGAGAGTGTGGGGTAGGCAAGTTATCCCTTTCCCACGCCTATTTTGGGCCTCTCTAGGTTTCTTCCAGGAGATCCTGCTATGCTCAGGGTGTCTCCAGAATTCCCTGCTGCCTGAGGCTTTCCTGGGGCCCCAGATGCTAGTGTGAAGCAAACATGCACATACCTTCCCTCCTTTCGAATTCGAGTTTGGACTCCAGCCCTGTTCCCAGTGTGCTCCCCAGAGTGGCCATTTTGCTTGTGTTATAGGCCTTGGGGTTCCTCATGAGCTTTACAGGAGTTGCCCAGGAGCCCTCACTGAAGGCAGCTGCCATGGCAGAGGCTGAGTGTAGAGATACCTGGGCAGCTCCGGCAGGGCCGCAGGGTGGGAGGGCGGGCAGCAGGGCTGTCCCCTGACATCCGCCCCACTGGGCCTCATGCCCGGCACCTTCCCGTAGCTCACTGGGCCCCTCAGCGACTCCAGTCCAAATGGTCTGGACAGGCGACTGCCCAGCAGTGCTTGTGTTCCTCATAGGGACCGCTTGAGGATCTCATCTGCATCTGAAGACAGCCTGGCTGCTCTAAGGGTGGGGAAGCTCCCTGAAGGGGACCGTGAGTGCGGTCCTCCCTTCAGGCTGTCAGCTATCTTTAGGGCCCCCCTTTTCAGAGCCGTATCACCAAGCATTACCAGGAGCCTTCAGTCTTGGGTCTCCTGGAGAAGCCTTCCGAATGGTTGAGTCACATCCTGTAGGGATCTGGCAGGGGGATTGGGGCACCAAGGACATAATGCACATTTCAGGAGAGCCAACAGGATCAGCAGCTCTTGGCTCCACTGCTCTTGGATGTGATAGAACCTGGCTACAGCTGGAAGTCTGAGACCCGAGAGCCTTGCAATCTCACCCTCTAGGGAAGTTGTAGTGTAAGTGGCTGAGGCCAGGAGGGGTAACCATCCACTCATTTCCTCAACCCTTGTCTGCTGAGCTTACCTAAGCAGCCACCCAGCCCAGTACCTTAGAGGTCTCTCTTGGTGCCCCCTGCAGCCATCTCTGTCCCCACAGGGCCAGGAAGCTGTGGTGACAGGAGCATGTCAGCCAGGTCCCACACACTGCTGCCTGGCCATATGCTGGGGCCAGAATTCCCTCCAGAATCTGGGGCCTGCACAGGCCTTTTCCCCAGGGTCCACTTCCAGGGTGAACCTTGGGCCTGCTTGCAGGCGTGTGCACCCCAGAGCGGCATGTGAATGAGGTGGCTCCTGTGCACGCCAGCAGCCCCTCACCTGGCAGGATGTAGGAAGAGCGGGAAGAGGGTGGTGTGGTCTTCATGTGTGCTCCTGTTGCAGGCTCTGCAGAAGTCAGGGCTCCCCAGCTGAGCATCCACTGTGGGCTGCACCGTCCCAGGTGCCAGGCAGTGAGCAGCTCATGGGGAATTCTGAGCACATACAAGGGATGTGCTCAGGCAGTAATTGGAGGGAGGAGAAAGTGGGGCAGGAGGAGGGGAGGGCCATGCGGAAGGCTGGCCGGGGTCTCTTGGATAAGCTGGGATTTGATGGGAGACTGCGTGGGTGAGCGAAGGAGCTGCAAGCCTGGGACAGGCACATCTGACACAGAGGAAGCAGCAGCTGCAGGGCCCTGAGCGGGAGAACGCTGGTCACTTGGGAGGGCGAGCAGGGGCTGTGTGCTGGGGATGCAGGCCCACAGCAGGGGGTTGAGAGGAGGCATCAGAGAGACAGCAGGTAGGATAGGGCCCAGCCTGCAGGGGAAGGGTGTGTGCGGGGCGCCTGTGGGTTTTCCGGGCTGAATCGTGTTCCCTCCCAAGGTTCCACTGTTGAAGCCCTATCCTCTAGGACCTCAGGGTGGGGCCTTACTTGGACTCAGGTTGTTGTAAATGTCATTAGTGAAGATGAGGTCATACTGGAGTAGGATGGGCCCTGAGTCTAAGATGACCAGCGTCCTTATGAAAAGGGGATGTGTGGACGCAGACAAGCACCTAGGGAGAACATGACGTGAAGATGAAGCCGGAGCTCAGGGGTGCTTCTCCAGGCTGGGGGTGCCGAAGATGGCCGGTAAACCACTGCAAGCTAGGGAAGGGTCCTGGAGCCTGTTCCCCTCCAGCCCTCAGGAGGAGCCAAGCCTGCCCACACCTGCATCTCAGACTTCCAGCTTCCAGAACTGGCAGACAGTAGGTTCCTGCTGTTGAAGCCACCTGAGCCATGAGCCACGGCACTTTGTTACGGCAGCCTCAGCAGACTAACAGGTATATTCTGAGCTGAAGCCATCATTCAACAGAAGAACAGTGTGAACTGGTTTAAGTTTAAATACAATCGCTGTGATGTGCTTTGTGGAGATTTGTGAGTTGTCAGAGCTGCATAAAAGACCAGAGAAAAAGATAGCAAGAGAGATGGATACCGAGAGAGGGTTTTTTCTTCTTCGAAGTTGGAAGAGGGTGGCAGGCCTTGTTCCATCTCCCCTGTCCCACTCCAACTCCAGTGTGGCTAAAAGGGGCCAAGGTACAGCTTGGGCCATTGCTTCAGACGGTGCAAGCTCCAAGCCTTTGCTGCTTCCATGTGGTGTTGGCCCTGAGGGTGCGCAGAAGAGTGGAACTTTAGGAACTTCTGCTTAGATTTCAGAGGATGTATGGAAATGCCTGATGTCCAGGCAAAAGTCTGCTTCGGGGCAGAGCTCTCATGGAGAACCTCTGCTAGGGGTAGTGTGGAAGGGAAAGGTGGGGTTGGAGCCCCCAGAGTCTCAATGGGGTACTGCCCAGTGGAGCTGTGAGAAGAGGGCCACCATCTTCCAGACCCCAGAAAGGTAGATACACCAACAGCTTGCACTGTGCTCCTGGAAAAGCCGCAAACACTCAATCCCATGCCGTGAAAGCAGCCACAGGGACTGTACCCTGCAGAGTCACAGATACAGAGCTGCCCAAGGCATTGGAAGCCCACCTCTTGCATCAGTGTGACCTGGATGGGAGACATGGCATCAAAGGAGATTTTGGAGCTTTGAGATCTAATGACTGCCCAGCTGGATTTTGGACTTGCATGGGGCCTGTGGCCTCTTTGTTTTGACCAATTCCTTCCAGTTGGAATGGGAACATTTACCCATTGCTTGTACCCCTATTGTATCTTTGAAGTAACTAACTTGTTTTTGATTTTATAGGCTCGTAGGTGGAAGGGACTTGCCTTGTCTCAAATGAGACTTTGGACTTGGACTTTTGAGTTAATGTTGGAATGAGTTAACTTTGGGGGATGATTGGGAAGGCATGATTGGTTTTGAAATGTGAAAGGACATGAGATCTGGGAAGGACTAGAGGCAGAATAATGTGATTTAGCTCTGTGACCCCACCCAAATCTCTTCTCTAATTGTAATCCCCATGTGTCGAGGGAGGAACCTAGGGGTAGTGTGAGGTGATTGGCTCGTGGGGGTGGTTCCCCAGGCTATTCTCGTGACAGAGAGCTGGTGGTTTTAAAGTGTGGCACTTCCTCACTCTTGCTCTCTCCTGCCACCATGTAAGATGTGCCTTGCTTCCCCTTCACCTTCCACCATAGTTGTAAGTTTCTTGAGGTCTCCCCAGCCATGCAGAACTGTAAGTCAATTAAACCTCCTTTCTTTATAAATTACTCAGTCTCAGGTAGTATATTTAGAGCAGTGTGAAAATGGAATAATACACTCAGTTTCTTCATCTGCAAGATGAGGAGGGTGAAAGCGCCTGCACCTCTAAGATGCCATGGTAAATATCCGTAAATATGCACATGGAAGTACTCAGGATGGTGTTGGTAGAGTAGCACTTGAGAACTGTTACTGTTATCAAATATAATCACCTGCAGCAAGGATGCTGTGAATACACCTGGGGGCACAGAAAGAGCAGGTGGCAGCAAGGTGAGTGAGTTCAAAGCAGCTGATGCTTGGCCCAGGGCGTCATGAATCTCCCAACGCTCCATCCCCCTAGCAGGACAACAACTGGTCTCAGAGCCTGGGACAAACTCAGGCTGCAGGTGCAGCTAAGTGGTGTGGGGTGTGGGGTATTTTACCAGGCATGCTCCTTTACTTATAAAATGTAGAAAGCCGGGGTGGCCTTGGCAGGAACAGTTTTAAGAAGCGTTCATGAAAAATTAACAGCTGGTTTGGGCCTTAGAAAATCCTGCTCCAGAGTAAGCATGTAATTTAAATATGTGGAGGTAGAGCCCAAGGAATACAAAGCAGCTGCAAGAGTTGGAAGCAGTAACTTCTGGGGATTAGGAGTGTTGCTGGGGTGTGAAGGGGAGAACCCATGATTTTTGTTTTAATCCAGGAAGTCCTGTTTGAGCTTTAAACTATGCTGATATGCTGACTGTATAGTTTGATTATTAAATTTTAAGTTAAAAATCCAACTAAAAAAAAAAGATCTTGCTCCAACATCTTCCGCAAAAGGGATAGCTGTGATTGCTCCTGTAATCTTGCCTGGAAGAGCTGCTGTTCCTTCCCCTCCCTGGAGTCCAGACACCTTAGGCAGGTCGGTCCAGGGACCCTGCCTCAGGTGTCTGGACTCCAGGGAGGGGAAGGAACACCAGCTCTTCCAGGCAAGGCCAGTTGCAGGTGCTGTTTTACTAGGAAGAAAGGGAAGAAGGTATTTCCAGTTTCTTTTTTTGAGACGGAATCGTGCTCTGTCTCCCAGGCAAGAGTGCTGCGGCATGATCTCGGCTCACTGTGACCTCCAGCTCCTATGTTTGAGCAATTCTCCTGCTTCAGACTCCCAAGTAGCTGGGATTACAAGTGCCCACCACCATTCCTGGCTATTTGTTTGTTGGGGATTTTTAAAATATATTTTTAGTAGAGTCGGGGTTTCACCATGTTGGCCAGGCTGGTTTTGATCTCCTGACTTCAAGTGATCCTCCCACCTTGATCTCCTAAAATGCTGGGATTACAGGCGTGCACCACTGTACCTGATCTCCAATTTCTTTTCTGCCAAGCTTCAAGAAACCAGGTTTGAAGCGATTCTGGAACCCCTACCTCTGACCCCTATCTCTGACCCTGCCTACCCTCCAGCCAAACCCCCCTGACTCTGGCCTTTTTCTGGTCTGCAGAAGTCACCTGAAGTACTAGCAAATGACAGATGCTTAGATATTTCACCATTTGGAAGCTACCTTGCATTTTCCCCCATCTAGAAAGCCACTCCCATGATCTTGAAACACATTTTTCATGCGATAAGAAGTTAACTAGACAACGAGACATGAGAGGCCTGGGAGCTGCACAGGAGGCCTCCAGCAGGCGCCGCGCAGGGCTTCAGAGTAAACAGCATGGGTGGGTGGGGCAGGGGGATCTTTTTTTCTTTATTCTGAGCAGCTGATAACCAATTATTTTGTATATTTACCTATCTATCTACCTACCTGCCTACCTACTTTCCTTTCAGTCCCTATCTACATATCTAGCATCTGTGAAGGGAAAATAAAATCTCCCCAAATGCATATGCCAAAGGAAAAAGCCAAGCCTGGAGACTGAGACACGCAAAACTGCCCCCCTCATAATTTGCCTGCAAAGAAATTCCTGTGGGCCCCAAGATCTTTACTCTAAAACAGCTCTGTTTAGTTTCACCCCGACAATGTAAATTACCAGCTTATCTTCACAAACGCAGGACAAAGACAGGACTAGGAGTCTTCGATCTGCTCACCTGGGACGAAGGCATACATGACTCCTTCAATTCTGTGTTCATATACAAATGCACATTTGCAGAGCTGGAGGAGAATGTGCAATTGACTATTTCTCTACCCACTCTTTTTACATATAAAATGTGGACTCAGTGAAGGTTGATCAAAGCCTCAAAGGCTGGTCGCAGTGGCCGCAATGCCCCATTCACCTACCCCCAACCCCTGCCTTTTCCTCCTATTGCCCATTCTTTCCCCTTTAAATGCTTAAGTCCCAGACCCTCTTTGGAAAAAGTAGCCGCAGTTGGCTCTGTTGCTTGTGTCTCTTTTTCCTGGGCACATCTTTAAGCTTGGCAAAAGAAACCTCTAAATTAATTGAAAGCTGTCTCAGATACATTTTGGTTTACACATCTATCCTCTCACTCTCTTATATATCTTGCCCATGTTTGCAGAAATCTACTGTCTGTTCAATTCTTTGCTCTGAGCACTCCCAGGAGTCACGGACTGTAACTCCTGGCTCATTTGGTGCAGAACTAACAGGAGAAGCATGCACAGAGGTGCTTATTAAACGCTTCTGGATGGTCAGGAAGAACTGAGGCCAAAAGGTGAAACCACCGACATGCTTCAGAGGGCAAAGCCAAGGACCAGCAGGAACCGGGGCAGAGCATCTGTCTCTCTCACGTTCCCAGGACACGCATCCTCTGCCACCCCTCAGGGTCTCCTTTTCTAGTCCAGCCACCCCCTCCCCAGCGCAGACCACCAGTGGAGTTTTGCAACATCGTCCATCTGGCTGAGCATAACGATTTGTGTATTAGTTTAAGCATGATTTTAAACTTCAGACTCAGCCAGGCTTGGCTGCAGCCACCTCCCAGTTTCCTATTTGTGGGCAGTCTTCTTCCCCTCTTTTCTTCTGCTCTGAAATGTTGAGTGTAAGTGAAGGAAGGTGAGAATCAATGAGAAGCAGGAGGGGGAAGGCAGAAGGCTTGTCTGTGTGCCCCACAACACCTGCAGAAGAGGAAGACACTACGTGGGTCAATAGCTACAACATGGCCAGACACAGAAGGCATACCACCAAACGGTCAGAGAGTGAGAGGTGGAGTGGAATGGAGCGACCCCTGGAGAGGCAGGCAGACAGATGAATGGCTGGCCAAGGTCATGGACAGATGGATAAATGGTAAAAGCTGAATCTAACAGATTCAGTTGTTTTTCTGAGCAGCACTTAGAAGAGTCTGCAAATTTCTGGCATCTATTGTCTCCACACAAGAAGGTGTTCTCAGCGGTTAGAACAACATCAGAAATCAGGGCATTGGTCACTGGGACCAAATAGGACTTTATCAGTAGTTCAGAGGCCCCCGCGGCACCCACCTGTTCTCTGTGTCCCTTCACAGGATGACACCCCGTGCTGGAAGCCATCTTTTCTGGGCTGTTCTGCGCTGCTCTCCTGGCTGCCACCACTAGGGGCATTGTCGCCACCTGTCGTCGGGACCCCTCCTCCGTCCACATCTTCAATGTTGCCAGCACTGTGCTGGCGGGCATTGCAATCCTTCCGCATTCTGTGGGAGGGAGAGGTCCTTTGAGGATTCTCATCAATACATTTCTAATACGCCTAAACACCCCACCATGGCTTTGCCTAAGTCAGGATCGTAGCCATGCTCTCCAGGTGAGCAGCACATCTGGGATGCTGGTGGGGAGAGGGGCTGTTGTTTCCAAACCTCGGCATCTAATAAATGAAAAGACTGCACCAGGGTGAATGGGCTCGGTCTCAACCTTTCATAAGAACCCTTAGCACCAAGGCCCAATAAGGAGCTCTGTCATATTCGGGCAAAACTTCTTAGAATTCATTCCAACTGATCACTACGCCCAGGTAAGACTTATTGGATGAGAAGTGTGTGTTGCGGATGTTCTTCCAGTTCTTGCTAACAGATGTGGAACAGTTACTGCTTAAGACTCATAACCTTGGCAGCCCTGCAAGAGCTCAAGCAGATTCTCAGCTTGTGCAAATGTGGGGGAAAGAGATTCTCATCCATATGAGATTTCCCATAGATTCATAATCTGAGACTGCTTGCTGAAACAAATGATCTGTTCAATGCCACTTGGGAGTAGCAGTTTTAATCATATGAGAAAATGGGTGGTTGACAGTGAAATCTGAACCGGAAGTACAGAGCTCCCTGCATCCCCCACGCCCTCCCCCAGCATCTGGATAGAGGCCTTTGTGGTAAAAACTTACCTTACCCACTTGGTCCAGAACCAGGTCCTAATTCTGTCCAAAGTGATGGGTCCACCCCAGACATTCTTCAGCTGCCTGTGGGTCCCTAGGTAGGATGTGGTTAGTGGGGAGACATACATAGGGTACCCCAAGGGCTGATCGCAGGAAGAGTTAATCAAATTCCGCAGGACCTGCTTATTGTTCTGGATGCTGCCACGCTCTGGATTGCGGTTGCGAAGGAATATGAGCTCCTGCTGCTGCCCGGCCCAAAGTCCTCGGACACATTCTTTGTTAACCTGCAGGTCAGAGAGGGAACAGGAAGAAAGGCAGATGGCCTGTGT